GTCCCCGGCCGGCGGGCGCGGGGGCCCGCTCCCGCCTGTCCACGCGCTCCGACCTGTCGCTGGGCTCCCGGGGTGGCGCGGCGCCCCCGCAGCACCACCCGTCGGGGCCCAAGAGCTCTGCCACTGTGAGCCGCAACCTCAACCGCTTCTCCACCTTCGTCAAGTCGGGCGGAGAGGCCTTCGTGCTCGGCGAGGCGTCGGGCTTCGTCAAGGACGGGGACAAGCTGTGCGTGGTGCTGGGGCCCTACGGCCCAGAGTGGCAGGAGAACCCCTACCCGTTCCAGTGCACCATCGACGACCCCACCAAGCAGACCAAGTTCAAGGGCATGAAGAGCTACATCTCCTACAAGCTGGTGCCCACGCACACGCAGGTCCCAGTGCACCGGCGCTACAAGCACTTCGACTGGCTGTACGCACGCCTGGCCGAGAAGTTCCCCGTCATCTCGGTGCCCCACCTGCCGGAGAAGCAGGCCACCGGCCGCTTCGAGGAGGACTTCATCTCCAAGCGCAGGAAGGGCCTGATCTGGTGGATGAACCACATGGCCAGCCACCCGGTGCTGGCGCAGTGCGACGTGTTCCAGCACTTCCTGACATGCCCTAGCAGCACGGACGAGAAGGCCTGGAAGCAGGGCAAGAGGAAGGCGGAGAAGGATGAGATGGTGGGCGCCAACTTCTTCCTGACGCTGAGCACGCCCCCCGCAGCCGCCCTGGACCTGCAGGAGGTGGAGAGCAAGATCGACGGCTTCAAGAGCTTCACCAAGAAGATGGACGACAGCGCACTGCAGCTCAACCACACGGCCAACGAGTTCGCGCGCAAGCAGGTGACCGGCTTCAAGAAGGAGTATCAGAAGGTGGGCCAGTCCTTCCGCGGCCTCAGCCAGGCCTTCGAGCTGGACCAGCAGGCCTTCTCCGCAGGCCTGAATCAGGCCATCGCCTTCACCGGAGATGCCTACGACGCCATCGGCGAGCTGTTCGCCGAGCAACCCAGGCAGGACCTGGACCCGGTCATGGACCTGTTAGCGCTGTATCAGGGCCACCTGGCCAACTTCCCAGACATCATCCACGTCCAGAAAGGTAACGCCCGGGCCTCAGAGCAGATGGCGGGTGTAGTTGTTCAGGCTGGAAGGGATGGCTTTGACGGGAGGATCCCTGTGGCTCTTGTGTCCCGCGGTCTGGCATCCAGCAGAGATGTAGCGGGCTAGGCTAGGTCGTTGGCCCAGAGTGGCTTCCTCCTCTATCAGCCAGTGCGTGCTCTTCAGAGAAGGCTCTGGGAGCACTTTTCTGGGCAGTGCTATTATTTTAGCTTGAATAGTTGGTAATGTGCTGGGCAGGTCTGTCGTCTTGTGACTAGGGTAGCCCTAAACCATGTGAGGCATCCCTTTAAACTCTGCAGTGTCACTTAGTGATGGCTTTCTGAAGAAGGAAATGTCTGCAGATCAAGGTAAGTCCCACTCACCCGTAGCACCTCCCAGTCCTGGCTTTGGTAGAGGAATTAGGATCAGTTCCCTGAGCTGGGTCAGTTTGAGAATTTCCTGCATAGGCTTCTTGCTTGCAACCTTTGTACAATGAGGTAAAAGGCTCACTCTAATTTCAGAAAAAGCCTGGTTACTTTGAGCTTGGGGCCTCCTGTTCACCAACTGAAATTAAAGATATTTTAGAAAATGATGTGGGGAAACTGCTTAGCATGCATGAAGTCTGAGTATTGTATCTGAGAGCAGTGTTTCTGGTACCCCAGTGACTGAGCGGTCCTGCTGTCAGAGTTTATTAGCATCGTTAGTGTTGCAGATTTTTGTTAAAGCTCTGGAACTTGCAAATTTTTATACATTGAGCAGTAATTTCTGTTCTAATATTACTCTGGTACATTCTCAGTCTGTCTTGATTGAGAGAAGGGAGAGGAGCCATTGGAGTTAGGGAGGAAGCTTTGCCTGTGAACCTTTAGTGTGGAGGGAGGGTGGGAAGAGGGAGTCATTCAGTTGAGCTTTCTGCTCTGTGAAAACCTCCTTGGACAGACAGGTCTGGCCTTCAGTGATGTCGTGCATGTTGCCTTTCTATGAACAACCCTGGTTTTTGACATGTGCTTTCTTGTGCTGAGCTGAAGTTTGTGTCTTGTGATTGTCTTTCTGTTCCCTGGAACTGCAAAAAATAAATCAATTCCTCGTCGACATTTCAGGCTTTCAGACAGTTGGAGACAGCAGTCTGGCTTCCTTCCTCTCTGCTTCTCTCCTCCCCTTCCAACTGTGTGATCATTCTGCTGACTCTTACCCAGGGGGAGGGGCCCAAAGGCCTTGACTCTGTCACTGCTAAAAGGCAGTACCCTAAACATCTACAGTACTGATTTTAGTAGAGAATAGTTACTTTCTTGGCAGTCGACAGTCTGTAAATGCAGTGATCTTGCCATTAGACTTTATTGAACCCGTATCTACGTTCCCTTTTATTTTTTTTCCTCGCATGAATTGTTATAAACCCTTTACTTTTTGACTGGTACTAATAGAACTGACTTTTTGAGCCTTTAATGCAGAATCTTACTATTTAAATTCCATTGTGTTACCCCATCCAGACCCATGGTGGCTGCTTTATTACACATTTCCATGAGTTTGTGCAGATTGTTGGTACGTAATTGAGAGAGGGCAGAACTGAGTGCCACAGCTGCAGCGGGAAGCAGGGACTGTCCACTCCAGGTTGGCATCTGTTCATTCATCGGTTTTACTCAGCCTTTGTCACGTGCTGTACTGTCAGAAATTATGGCTGAGAAAAGGTACAGTGTTTGTCCTAAGGTCTATTTTGAGTTTACAGCAGGAGGCTATTTAGTCTAATTACCTAGTTTATTTTATTTTATTTTTTTATTCTAGAATTGTCTCCTATTGCTTGTTTGATTTTTGTGTGTCTAGACAGATTCAAGGGCAGTAAACATGATCTCCCAACTTCGGAAAGAACACAGTTGACATTCAATATACTGTAGTTTGTTTCTGCTGTAGCCTTGGCGTGTAATGTCCAGAGCCCCTGTCCCTAGATGACATGTCTTTAGAATGTGCTGCCATTTACAGCATCGTGTGCAACACGGAAGGCTAAAAGCATTGCTTACGGCCATTGCTTACCAAGGATGCCAGTGTTGGCGATTTGTAGGAGTACAGATGAGACAAATAACGTAATCCAGGGTAGAGCTTCTGGAGCACATTCCAGATTTGTGGTCAAGAGCAGCTTAGTCCTTCCTCACCCGCAACTATGCCATCGCTGTTGGAATGAATCTTTTTTAGTCTGAGCACTTGGGGATTTTGTTTACTGATTATTTTTTTTCCTCCCTGTTCTCAAAGCATAATCACATCAAAGGTCTTACTGTGACTTTTCGTTGAGAATAACAACAACAAAGACAAAAATCTTTAAGCAGTTTAACCAAAGTTTATATGTCAACTAAGGAAAAAGTTTAAAAAAAAAAACAAAAATAATAATCGTTTCATCCCTTGAGTTCTCAGTGTTTAAAATAAGAGAAGCAGTTTTACTACTTGGACATTTTACATGGCTTAATCTAACACAAGAAGGAGGGGTCTTCACAAATTTTGTGGAAATGTGTATTACAGAAAAACTGGTTTTCAAAATTGTTTTGCACCAAGATAAATTCCTACTTTCATTCTGTGTTTCCACGAACGTTTTGACGTTCCCCATTCTAGAAGGTCTTCTTTGAAATGAAGTAGAACATGTTTAGAAAGTGCCTTTTAATTATGAAAGCAATTATGAAGAATTAGACTAGGTGATTCCCCCCTTCCCCCAATTCCTGGTGGACAGGAAAGGGATATTAGGCTCCTGAGCCTTTTTTCTTACCCAGGAGACTGCTGTGGTCAGGCAGCATTTAAAGTGTTCGCGACTACTGTGCTGTTCCGTGTTGTATCCAGGAGCCACATGTGGCTCTTTAAGTTAGTTAAAATTAAATTGAAAATTCAGATTTTTAGTTACACTAGGCACATTTCAAGCTTAAGAGCTAGTGGCTGGCTACCAGGCAACAAGAGATGCTGAACACTGTCGTCCTCACCGAACGTTCTCCTGGACAGCACTGTGTGGGACAGTTGGCTGCAGTCTGACAATCTAGCTTGTTCTTCCAGCAAATTACTTATATCATACTTTTCTGATAATGCCCTTTTTATCTGGCCATCTCCTCCTCCTCATATAGGCTTAATTGGTAACAGTTGTTGGTGGTGATGGGGGTCCGAGGCAAGGTCTTGCTCCATCCCTCTTCATAGAACTTCCAGGCACTCGAGGTATGAGTGCCATTTCAGTGCGGTGTGAGCGTGTCTGTCTGTCTGCCTGCAGCCTGCCTTCATGTCCTATTCAGAAAACACACTGGCCTTGGGATGGTCACCGTTGGCCAGCCTGGTAAGGCCCCAGCTACAGAATGAGGGTGGAACACTCAAGTACTCTCACATGGGGTAAGCTGGCATTTTTTTGTGACAATATTTAAAAAATTAAACCATTGTTTAAATTAATAATGACGTTAGAGTAAGTACTTTCTGGAGAAGGGAACAAAAAGCTATTTTATGTGATTCCTTCAGCTAAAAGAGAATTCTAAAATTCTGATTTTTTTCCATCAACTAATAGAGAAGCAGACCTATTTCGGTTAACGGAGTGGGCTGAGGGAAGAAGGCAGTTTGCTCGTCTGCAGTACCTTACATGGGAGTTCAGAATTGGTGTCAGTTTTATTTATGTAGTTTGCTTTGACTTACAAGAGTCCTTTACATTCTTTGCTTATAGGCAGCTTATTGATCCTTGACTAGGCAGTACGAACATACCTGTCACTGACATGTCACCCCTGTGGTCTTCATTTTCTTTCCTTCAGGTGGTAACATTTTATTTTCTCCCTCTGTGTCATCCCATCCTGCAGTATGCCTTTGTGATGCGGATGTTGGTGAGTTTGGGCTAGTACAGAAAGTATATTTCATTATCGATTTCTGAGCATCTTCCGTTTTGTTTCCAAAGAGATGATTAATCTCTACTGTTGAGTAAAGCTAAATCTATAGATGGCAGTAAGTCATTGTGGTTTGAAAGCTTCAGCCCTTATCTGTTGAGGGAAAGACTGCAAAAGATTATGAGAAATGTTGGTTTCATCCTTATTTATGAATATGGACCAGATGGCTAGAAGCAGTCACTTAAGTGAAGTTCCCGTCTTCCAGAGAAAAGGTATAAAATCGCATTAGGTTGATTTTTTTGGTGAAATCTAGTTTGAGGGGTGTGAGGCAGGACCAGATGAATGACCTTGTAGGCCATCGTGTTTTCTGTACTGGTAAATTAAATATGCAGACTCTGCCTGCTGGCGCTCTGCTCCAGATGGGGCCTTCTGCCTTCTTTTCAATAAAAGATCGCCTGAGGACCTTAGGAATGGGACACGGGCAGTGGGCTTGGTAGTCCTGCCGGGTAGAATTTCACCATTGTGCTTGCTTTTACCACTGGCTGGGTTGGTCTTAAGTGCCTCAGACATTAATTAGAGATAGCTGGAGATCTGGCAGGGCATGCAAGGTAAGGCTGAGCTACACTGAGACCTTCCAGTCTGCGCCCCATTCTCTCATGGCTATAAATAGCCCTGCGAGGGTGGTGCCAGGAATACAGAGAAAAGGTCTGAAAAGGTGGGGCGTTTGCAAACTCAGCCTCCTCTTGAAAACTCTGGGCTAGAAATTGAGGCCATTCATAGATTTTGTTTTACTTGTTTTAATTGAACTCCGTTTCTCCTCCCACCTACCTCCTCCCAGAGCTATTTGCTAAAAGAGACTTCACTTCTAATCTTAACCTTTGGCCCAATTTGTATTTTCCTAGTGAAAATAAGGTAACCTTTGGTGCTTTGGGAATGGATGACTCATTTCCTCTGCCAAACATAAATGTCACTGGCCCAGGGCCGCCTTGGTCACAAAGCGGGTACTGCCTGCATATCGCCCTGTCAGTAGTTTCTCATACTTCCTCTGTGAGCCACATCTGCTACAGCAAAACCTAAAGGAGACGGAGTACCCACTTTCCCACTCGAGTTCTTCCCGAAACTCTGGGAGCCTGTGAGCTCAACGAGACTTAAACCAAGTTCCTTTTCTAAAGGCTGAATA